AAATTATATTCGACAAATGATTTATATCATGAAACAAAATTATTTGATCCCAAGCAACTTTATTCTTTACATACTATCAGCCATTATCACAAAGTTGTCAGTGAGCAGGATGAAATCACACATAGTCGTGATACACGATATAAACCATGAGCAAAAACTATCCCTAAGCCTCATACAACAATAATGAAGCGGTTTTTTCTCTATTTTGCTCCAAAATTATATGAACACATACCCAGAGACTTAAAACGATTTCGCAATATACATAATTTTAAAAAGAAGTTATCAGAATGGATACGCGCAATAGGAAGATAACACATTATTGAATTCCTATCAAAAATTCATTAAAAATTATCATTCTCTACATAAATATGCACCTCTTTGATATAAGTGTTTCTTCAAATTTCTAACTTTTTGTTTTGATTTTGGAATACATTCCAGCACACGACTGATTCATGTGCAGGCATTGTCCTTCTATGGATTGAAACATTTATTTACCCATTGTATGTTGTTATTGTTCTTATATAATAGAGTAAATAAATGTCTATTACTACTGCTACCATATCCATAAAGACGACGTTCAAATAGCCTGGAAAGAGATACCTCAAGAGGAAATCGATGGTATATTTACAATATGATTTTTGCAAAACTCGATATCTTAGCATACTATTTCTGCGTTTGTAACGGACGGATTCATATACATATACATTTACTATACTACTATACAATTTTTGTTAATAGTTTTATTATCATGGTTACCTGAAAACCGGCCTTCTCCGAAATTAACAGATACACAGGCGTTAAAAGCACAAACGCTAATCAGTACCCCACATTTTGTTTACTTCCTGGCTGCTCTAGGATCTTGGACCAGCTCTTATTACGGATATCTGTAGTGTGGTCTATTTTTTCAGGTGTTTCAGGTTTGCCTGTAGCGGCACCAAGAATAAAATAGAGCATGTGAATTGGAACAATCGTTTACGACCCCAGGTTCAATGGTAATGCGCGAGACAGTCAATTCGTGGCGATGCTATCATATGAATTCATTAAGGTATACCAAGAATGTATGTAAAGGAATTCGCATCGGTGACTTACTGATAAATAGTTTTGTTTCGTGTTTGCGTGCCTGCTTGTCTGGTTACCATGCTCGAAGAGCTGGATGAATCGTGTGATCAGGGCCGGATTTAAAGAGAATTGTACCCGGAGCGCACGAAGTAAAAGTTAGTCAAGTTTATTTAGCGTATACTCTACCCACGCAACCTATTAGGTTATTTTTGAAGTTTGTGCGTATACAGGCAAGATACACGAACAAGTGATGTTCTTGAGTAAATTTAATTGATGATCGGCACACGTTTCCACTCAATATTATAAATGTATGTTCCGTTTTCATGCCAAAACTGATGAACCGATTTTGATGAATGTTTTTTTACTACTCACCTACAAATATGAAATTTGGTAATGGGCTGGATTAAGGAGGGCTAGAAGCATACATTACATAAATCCGAAAATATACACATTAACGACGAAATTTCGGAAACTATTTAACTGACGAAAATGGAATCTGACAAGGAGTGGGCGAGATGTTTCGGCTAAGAACCGATTTTGCGATAAGACTGGATCAGGGAGCTTAAAGGGCACTTGCAATTTGCTAGCAGCTTTTTGATGACAACCTAAATATATGCAATAATGAGGTTCTATTTAGAGTACACTTGAACTAAGAATGGACTGTGCAACACAAAATTTGGAGGCTTCTACAATATAAAATTTGGTTTAATCCAAACTGTATATTCCAAATTTGTCATCTGTCCGCTCCACGGTTTGACCTTCACAGTGTACCAGTTATGCCCTTAAAAAAATGCTGAAATTTTCCAAGCATGCAAGTTGACTGTCAATGGCAATTTTTAAGAAAAATGTCTTACGTTAGTAAAAATTTCACGCGCACTACGGCAAGGATTACAGCTAGTCGGGGATAAACGTACCTAAATCTGTTCTCAAACTATACTCATGTATCCGTTCTAAGTGTCCTAAAAGAATTTAAGCAAAAATCAGGCGATATGAGATATCACTAAAGTTGTAGGAAATTGATATAAGGAGGTTGATTTAGCATGATAGTTGATATGTAGACAGGTTAAGGTATGCCTATATCTACGCATAAGATGGTTGAATGCTCAAGGAATAATAAAAACGGTTTTCAATTTTTAGAGATCTAATCTCCTACTTCTGGAGTTCGTCTAAAAGTTCCCTATTACCCCAGAAGCAAAAATAACTCCATCGCCAATGCACCGCCATTTCCAACGAATAAAACATAATTGCGTGCTACGACTCACATTATATCTCACCTTGTGCGGAAATTACGCCAACAGATAGATCAACCTACAAGAATAAGATGACTCCAAAAATGTTTGGACATCTCGTGATAAGACTGAAATTGTGACATACCTTCTTTTATTGGCAGATCCTTTTTATTCAATGGACTACACCACGATTCGCAAAACAAGCCTTCAGGTGGCTGACAAACTCACTTCTCTAACGTAAGTAAGGATCAGATTAGACAGGGATACACTCTTCTCGCCTAAGGGCCCATTAAGGCCTTTTCAGACATGTCACACAACAATTAGGCCACGGTTAGGTAGGTAAATTACAGAGGATAGTTACACATTGGATATTTAACTAAAGCTAAAATTTTGACACAGAGGTTTTTAAAAAGTCAATTATCAAGCAACTAACGTCAAATCTATTCAAAAATAAAATTTTAATAGCATTAAATGATGTAATGGGGCCCAAGCCAATCAGATTATGGTAGAGTCGATCACAGCCAAAAAATAGATGATCGAAGTTCCCCTCAAAGTTGCAGTGTTCACATAAGTTGCAACCGATAATATGGAATCTAAATCCATGTTTTGGATAAGCTCCATGTCCAAGTTATGCTCTAATAATCATAGATATGTATTTACGAGGAATTCTAAAATGTTTGTGCGAGAACGTTTTTGGACTATCAGGCTGTATTAGAGTAAATCTCGTTGGGTTCGTAAAGCAGACTTCCTTCCATTCGAACGTCCAGCTCATAAATAGGATTTGCTTGGATAAAATATTATAATCTTCTTTGAAAATTTGTGTCTGTAATATTGATTCAGTGTAAATGCTTGATTTGGCATTTCTAAATTGATCAAGAACGTGACAAATGTAAAATAGCAGCTTTTCCCCAAATTACCGTAACATAGAGCTTATAAGAAAAATAAGACAGCACATAGTGCCACCACTGTGAAAGTCAAGACAGCAAGCTGTCTGAAGGAGCCGTATGCCAGTTCGCATTACCAGATGGGTCGATCAGTCGGACAGCATCGGGCATGGATAATGTAGTCGGTTGGCAGCACCCCAAACATGTGAGCAGTACTCGAAGCTAGGTTTTATCGGGACCTTGTACAGTGTGGGAAGGTTATGGGGAGAGGGGAGAGGAGTACCTGATAGCCCCATAAAAAATAGCCCAGCTTTTGCCCAGCAACTGTTGCTATTGACTAGATGTGTTCGTGCCAGATCAAGTTTTCGTGTTCGATCTGGACTGCGACCAGCCGGAATTAATGGCCCTTTGGTAGAAGTCGGTCATACATTGATGCCGGATGAGCGCTAGGACGCTTCTTGTTAGGCAAGGTACAGTACTGTCTTTTGGAAACATTAAACTGTACCAGATTGTTAACTTTCCAAGCAGTGGTAACCTCTAGGTATCCAGTCAGAATTGAAGTCGCTGCTAGTCTTCTTTTCTCTAGCTCACCGGCAGAAATCGATTTGTCACTTTGAATTTCTGCATGTAGAGTGCAAATCTGTGCATTGGATGGATCATATATGAACGGGGTCGTAGATATGTAAGAGGAACAATGTCGGAGTCAAGACTAATCCCCCCAATCCCCAATTCTTAATCTTATCGCATACCGTCCGCTGGCTGTAATTCCAATCCTTTAACACCAGTCGTATTTTTCTCAGGTACTTTGTAGTCAAATAATGTTGCTCGCTCTGTAGCCGTCTCATGGTCTACTCTATATTTATCTCAAGTTAAGGTGTCACCGCGATTTCTACCCAATTTGTTGCAACTACCACAAAATATGGACAGAAAACTTGCAAGTAGACTAGAAACAAAAATTTTGTCCAGAGTTTACAAACGTGTTATAGAATTCAGTAAGGATTTGGATGCGAGTTTGAGCTCAAAAGTAGTGATGAGGCATGAAATGAAAAGCGTTGCATATCTGAGGCTTAAAGAAAGAAGGCAGAAACTGTTTGGGTTGTATATCCAAGAAGCAGAAGTTTGAGTTGTATATCCAGGAAGAGAAAGAGTTTGCCGTCTGTAGATCTGAATACGCAACCCTAAAGTGTATCCCTTTTAGAATATCGATATGATATAGGTATATTGTAAGATGTATAAAACAAAATATATTATGTAGTATAATACATTTTTGCAGTATGTAATCCTTTCTATTACTAATCCTTAATAGCTCTGACATTAGCCGACCGGCTGCCTTGTACTGATATACAAGCCAAACTTGCTCCTCTGGGATCTCCTCCACGCTGCCGCCACGTTCTAGGCCTCTCAGACACACTGGCCTGGCTTCTGATTTTTGTTGTGACACGGTTGAACTTAGATCGATAATAAAAATCTGAAAACGGTATATTTAATTATAAGAGTAGTTGCTCCCATCCAGAGTACCAAGTACTGTGTTGCATTTGTTCTAATACAACGCTTTCCAACATGGTGCAATACGGCAACCACTGCTGGGAGGCAAACAGAGAGTCGAGATGTTTCAGATAATAACTTTCAAAACATCTTACATTAGATGCGTTTCATCAACTTATTTCACTTGATTGGCGCTATAAGAGCTTTTCTTTATTTAAAAACAGCTTTTCGATCATCGCTCACCCAAGGAATATTTTACCAAAATGATTTTGGGGTTTGTTATCAGCTCATATTAACTTGGATCAATAAATTACCCTGAAAAGAATGTTTGACTTTTATTTTTTCACGGTTGAGTGTTTATATATGCTAAATCCACAGATCGCAGTTCTCTTTCTTCTTGCAAAAAGTCCTGGATGAACAAATCGAATAACTTCTGCCTTCTCTCCTTGAGTTTCAAGATTCCAACTTTGACCATCTCATTTCTGATCTCCAACAGGTGCGTATTTGTTCCATAATGTACTGCCGGGTTTAATCTCGGATCTAAATGTGGATTGAACTGTATCACACGCTCATAAACGCTGGTTAAGACTTTGGTTTCTATTTTAGATGCCATTCTACATTATTTGGAGAAATTGATCGTCACCGGGGATTGTCACATGTATTCACATCATTGACACTCCAGCTTGTCAATTGTGAAGTTGGTGCATAAGTATTGCTTGACGCTATAGTCCAGGAAGTATCTTTCCATCTGCTCAGAAAAACGTTCTGAATAGGTTTTTTGCGTGACTTTATTCAAAAAGAATACCTTTTAACGAATCTGCAGGTTACAAAATCTTCTTTTCGCACCCGTCAAGTTACAATTAAGAATAATGAAGGTTCTCAAGAACATATCTGTGAAGTCGATATTCCCCCAGATATAAGCAATTTATTATTCAAAAAGTGCGAAATGTGCCATTCTTATCCCCGAACCAAAAAAAATGAGTAAACGAAAATTTTACTGTTCGCACAGTTCCTAGATAGAAGAAGCATTTTAGCTATTGCAATCGCGAAGAAAAATCAAATATTTTAAGATAGACATCACTCATTTCCGTTTATCTGGCTGTCGGTCTGACTGTCCGCTAATCACTGACCCCTCTATAGCTTTCTTAGCATAATCGTAACGTTGTCAGAAATAAGCTATATAGTTTTGAAAATTGATCCATTGGCGGCGAGGCTAGAGGCAGAAAACGGTAAGAATCAAAATGGTTAAACTACATTTTTTGACGTCTCAGTTCAACCTTATCATTTTTCGAACAAAAGTTTTACAGGTCTTGAAAATTGGAGGTTGGGGTTCGATTGTTATAGTGAATTGAAATTGCTGCATCTCTGGTACTAGTATACTATAACTATCTAAAACTGTAATGACTCATCGATGTTCACGTGAACATCACTTAACTACCAGTAGTCGGCTGTTCATAGGCGGGGTATGAATGTTTAACATACACACACATGCTTAATAAAGAGTGGTTTGAAACATATTGTAAGTCAAAAATTTGGGAATTACCTTTATTCATCGTCGCTTCCACTTACATCTGACAGTAATAAACTGTCGCTATCGCTTTCCTCGTTGAAATTGACTATAACTGGCTCTATGATGGTGTCGATGTGGTGGTCAAGCTGCCACATTTTTGTTTCTTCCTTCACAACATGACGGATAGCATGCTGCCAAGCTTCGGGCGTTACTAGCTGTATGGAAGTCTCAAGTAAAACCTTAACGTCTGGTAATTTGAAGGTTGTGTTATGGCGCGCAATATAACCCTTCACTTGAGCCCAGATGAGCTCTATTGGGTTCAGTTCACAGTGGTAGGGCGGCAACCGCAGCACAGTGACACCACATTGACGGGCCATCTCATCAGTCACGTAACTAATGTTCGCAGGTTTGTGCTGTTTAATTTTTTCATACAATTCCGCTTCCACACATGAATCGTCAAACGGGATTCCTTTTTCGCGCAACCACTGCTGCATGTCACTTTTTCGAGATCCCATAGTCGGTACACGTTCGGCTCGACGACTATGGTAGGAAGCATTATCCATGACGATCACAGAGTTGGGCTCAACTCGCTGAAGCACCCCTTGAAACCAGCCCTCGAAGCAGCTGGCATTCATTTCGTCATGGTAATCACCTCCTTTCTTAGAGACGAAAATCAAGTCACACTCTTCTAAAAAGCCACTATCGCTACCAATATGAGTTACGATCAATCTTTGACCTTTCTCTGACGGTCCACGAAGACCTGTTGACAAACCTTCAATGCTTGCTTGTCGGTTACTCACTACGTTTTTGTCTATCCAGGTTTTTTTAACTGTGTGACCTGCATTTACCCATGTCTCGTCCAAATAATAGATTTTTCTGCTTTGTCGCCTATATTCAATCATTTCGCGTAGGTATTTTCGACGCCAGGCGACTATTTCAGGTCTCTCTATCAATACTGACTTCCGATTACGCGTTTCGTAACGAAAATTAATTTCGTGCAGGGATTTCCTCATTACCTCGACGCTCATTTGGGGTATAATTTCATTTTCCTTGATCGCTGCATGTACAGCCTTGAGGGTTGGTATCTCATTCCTAAAGAAGAATGAATGTACGGTTCGCCTTAACGCCATTTTGCTATCGTCATCCAATTTAACGGCCTTTCGTCCCTTCAAATTAAACTTTGGATCAGTAGTAGCTCCAGTTTTCTTATTTTCATGCACCACCCTGCGAATGGTCCACTCTGGAACGCCTGTCATACTTTCACAACGCGCGAGTGGATCTCCCTGCGACATAGTTCTGTTCAGATAATTGAACACGTTGAGCACGATTTCTTTCGCGTCCCTCTTCAGTGCTTTACGAAGCCGTCTACTTGTTCCCTGGCTTTCAGTACTTCCACTCGTGCCATTTGTACTCTCCATGCTTAAGTATAACCAAAACAGTAACCACAGAAACCACAACAATAACAATCAAACAACAATTCTTATAAAAACAGTTATGCGAAATGTATTTGAAAGTTGGGTCCTAACTAATGACAGTTTGAAGAACACTGGCTTAAATACCACTAAACAAATAACTATTTCAGGTTTCATGGCCGCACCACATTATAAACGCTGGCTCTCATCCGATCTACGAAGCTAAGCAGTATGTGGCATTGTTAGTACTTGAATGGTTGACTGCTTGGGAACACCTCATGTCATGTTAGCTCTTTTTACTTTTCTTGTAACTGTCGAGGAAGTATTGTGATCGCGAACAATTTCGAAAATATGGTATTTTAGATGTTACATGAAATCCACATCAAGAAAAACTGTCTGACTTATTTCTGTCGATCTATCTGTCTGTCAGTCTGTCGGTCTGTCTGCTAGTCCTTGGCCCTTCTATGTCGTGGAAAGTACCAAGAATTACTCGGATTGGCAGAAGGCAGTTGAGCTACAGGCAACAGACGAAAAAATAGAATTCGCTCTAACTTCGTTTTCTGACCTTCCAGAAGCCGCTCCTCGTTTTTGTGTTTTTGTGGGGTGTGAGCGATCGTCGCAGGGAGTGATGGATGGTTTCTGAATTTCTTACCTTTAATACATTTATACCCACGCCGAGCGCAACGAAGATATAAAAAATCTGTCGCGAGCTGGCCACATTCGATGACGAGGTGTACCGTGCTTACCACCATTTTTATTATTTCACTAATAATTTCTTGAAATCGCGATAACTATGAATTTGCTAATCATACAAATTGAAGAAAGATAACACCCCATCTGATAATAGCTCAGCCTTCTGTAGAGCCAATTATTAAGCAAAGTATGGCCGGACACCAGCTGGCGCGATCAATCACATAATTTTCAGATTAACTTCCGAATTTAATCCATAAATTTGCATTAGTTACGAAGCACTTGAGGAGCGGCCTGTCGCAGAGAGATATTTAGCATATCATACACATGTTTTTGTCACTGTGCAAGCACAGAGGCAACTTTAGCTGCTTTAGGTGCACCTGCTGCAAAACAACTCTGATCAGTTCAGCTACAAGGTACGAGAGACACTAGAAAAGTATCTACCTAGGCATGAAAAAAAAAACATTTGATACGCACAAGTATAATATGTCAAATGGTGGCATGTGTTCTAACCTTACTTTCAGAATTTGAGCCAATTTTGATAATTAACTTCCAATTTACCAGTATAAAGTGAATTGTGAGAAATAATTACGTACTTGAAATGAGAATATCTTAAAATTTCTGAAAAAAGTGAGCCTTTACCCGAAAGCAATTCTTGAGAGTATGGTTACCGTAGTATGGCATTGAATATTTTGGAACCCAGCTTAATAACCATCTTGGAAGGTGATTTGAACATGAGTAAGGTGTCAGCCAGGAAGGTTCCATGACTGTTGAGACCTGAACAAAAGTAATTCGGAAGCCTTGACCAACGATATCTGACTTGGCATAAATTGTGACAGACGACAAGGGAGCATCACTGGGATCCTGAGATAAAAACAGAATCCAGATGGTGGGTTCATATGCGGACGTCTAGGCAAACACGCTAAAAAATGTATGTAAAGCAATCAACCATAGAAGAACCAACTTTTCCAGTCGAGAAGTATTTCTGCTGCATGACAATGCGATCATGCTTCCAAAATTAGATCAATTGTGCAGGGGTGCAGCTTCGTTGAGATAGACCATCCAAACTATAGTCTTGCCTTCGTCTGAATTTTATCTCTTTAGGTTGCTAAAGAAAAATCTTCGTTCTGACTCCGATGATGGCCTGAAAGCTGCCGTCGACGACTTTTTTGCGACAGAAAACATTTTATCAAAAGGGATGAAAAATAGTGCAGGTGCATTGATGTATAGAGGATTATATATTAAAATCGAAACTAACGTATTATTGTTTCATGGCTAGGTAGAACTCTTTTCTAGTACCCCTCGTATTTTAACTTCAGCTTATGGAAATCCGTCTTGCATTATGTTCAAGACGTGCACCATTGATATAGCAATATTTAGCTTATGACTATGTCAACTATCGGTCAGACGACATGACCATATTGCAGCATAAGGCCCGGTATACCGTGCAAACCGTTTACAGTTGATGTTGGCCGAGCTGCAATGTGCATCACGTATGTTAGAAAAAGTTAAAAATTGTGATCCGTAACAATCATCGCTGTCGTTGGCAGGCAACGTGACGATTACTTGTGGGTGCACTTTTTCTATCTCTTTCTAGCATACGTGTTTAACACTTCTCTCGATTTTTTCTTTCTCGTACACATTGAAACCCGGCCGACCACTACCATAAATGATTCGAGGTATTATGTTTTTGGATGTTATATTATATGTACGAAAAGCTACCCATTTCCATCGGTCTGTCTGTCCCTTCATCAGTAGATTTTTGATGATGACTCATATCGAAGTGAGTCTAATAGGGAAACATGATTATGTTATTGACTACATTTGAGGCTTATTCCTCTCGTATGTTTCTCAGTTCTCGTATCTCTTGTCTCCACTGTCCAGGTATTATTTTGCCAGTATATTGGTTTTCACAATCAACCAATTGTGCATTATCGAAGTATTGATCAGGTGACGTTTTTCGTAGCCAGTTGTGAATTGCAATTGCAGCACTAACCAGTTTATTCACAGAGGAAACGTTCATCTTTACTTTTACTTCAAAAACACGAAATCTACTTGCTAAGATTCCAAAACTATTTTCCACTATTCTTCTGGCACGACTAAGCCGATAATTGAAAATCTTTTCTTCATCGGTAAGAGGTAGTCGGTATCAACTATATGGTTTAAGTAGATAGCGTTTTAGTGGAAAAGCACAATTACCAACTAAAAAGTAACCATTGGGTAGTAATCCTTCTTCTAGAGCTCCTGAAATCTCGATGCTTTGAAAAATACTACCATCTGAGTTAGATCCCTTTGTCCCTACTTTAAAATAAGCAGAACAGTAATTGTGTTCTACAATTGCCATTAGTACCACGCTGAAGGAGCCTTTATAGTTGAAGTATTTACTTCCAGTATGTGGGGGAGCCTCGATCAAGACATGTTTGCCATCAATGGCACCACAACAGAAAGGAAAATTCCATCTTGCTTTAAACCCATTTGCAACTTTTTTCCATGCATCATGTGTATCAGGAACCTGAAAAAATAAAAAAATCATTAAGCAAATGAGAGACATTAAATTAGTACTTCATTCATTTTAGGAAACACAAGTCGCTCCACCTAGCGAAAATGAACAAGGTCTGCTAGAGGAACAAGTCATTGAAGAACCGTCTACAAATCTCTCGCAGACTCCTATAAGACCTTCGACCAGCAAAACATGCTCCCGAGTAGAATTGACTGATAAAACAGGTTCTCGAGTAGAAGCAGGATCAAAAAATAAAAAATCATGGATAGAAACGCTAACCGCAGCTGTTGCAGAGGTCCGAAAAGTCCACGAAACAATAACTTCTGAATCCATCAGTGATCATGAAGCTTTTGACAAGTTCATTGCAGCCAGTTTAAATAAACTGCCCCCCGCTTATTCAATCATGGCGCAAGCTGAAATTCAAAGAGTAATACAAAAATATCGACTGAATGCGTTAAATAAGAGCAGTTCTGCTTCTGAGGCTTCCGCATTAACTGCAATTCAATCACCAACCCTTCCTTGGGATTCACCTCCTTCAACTACTTCTGCATACAGCACTAATTACCCTGTCATGAATGAGGACACAGTTGCAAATGATGATGCTGCTATCGGAGATATTATCTCGCAAGCATGGAACTTGACAAACTAAATGTTACAATTGAATTTGTTTGTTTTTTATTAAGAAGCCTAAATAAAACTTTAAAAATGCTCTATTATTATCTATTCGCATACCTTTACGAAATCCTTTAAACAGTCATACACAGTTTCACAAACATGATAGATATCGCTGATTTACAAACTAGGAAGAGATGAGAAAGGGTTCTGTAATTATTACCAGTTTTAGGTAATTCAAGGTTACTTCCAACATTGTTTCTAGTTTGATAGCGTCTCTCGTAATAGTGTCCTCTCGTTGGATTAATGGAGTTATTAAGCCTAACAAGTAGTCAAATTTTTCAGCAGTCATTCTGAGCGTCATTCTGTATTCTTTAGGATCTTCAAATCTCAGCTCCCTTATTAAATTGGTGGAAGCTCCTTGACTTTCTTTCCGTGTAAGCCATTCTCGACACCATATATCCTTTATTCAGGATTTCTCTCTTCCTCCAAAACTTCTTCCAGTTCTTCCAGGAGAATATTTGTGAGATTAGTAACACAAGTTTGTATGACAGTACGACTTTCCACCATGTTTTTAACTGTCGACTTGCACATCTACTGGACTATTTGGAAACGAGCTTTTTGGACCAAGTTGTGAATCAAGTAAAGGAGAATGCAACCACGCAAGTGCGAAGGCAAGTAACTTGACCGTTTACTTGACCCGTGTAAACCCGGCTTAACGGTAGCAAAGTATTTTCGATAGCAGCGTGGAGGGCAACGAAAATAGTATTTCAACCTATAGAAAAACGGACGCAGCCGCTTTGTTAATTGCAAGTCTGGTCACAGCTTTGTCGTTGCTTGCCAAATTGGTGGGGGCTGGGGACTAATTGTAAGAGCGTATTTGACTGACTGGATTTGTTAAAATTTTTTGTTATGCATATAGTTAGCTTTTTTCTCAAAGAGGCTAACTTGTGCCGAACATTATTTTCTATAAACTGATGAGGGCATTGCGTGAGAAATGTTGAGGCAACATACTTGGCTCCATTTTTTTTTAAGACAGTGCAGTCATTTACATCGAACGCGTATAACGAAAACAAATTAATGCGCACATTAAAACAGTACAGTTGCCACAAATCAGACATATTTCAATCACCTGCTTTGTGCAAATGCATAGTAGCTTTTGCGTAATATTTTCTAGAAATGATAAGAACAGCCAACGATAGTGGCTCATTAGACAGATTCGATTGACCGGTAATCTAAAGGCAAATAACTAGGAAGTGAGCATTTCTGATTCTCTTCATCATGCGGACAATATGGTTGCCACGCTGATTAGGTTTCCTCAGTATAATATAGCTTGTGGTTACGCAGCTGTACTGGACACTGAACTTAGAGCTAACGAACGTCATATAATGCTTATAGTGTGGTACATGTGCGCTTTACGAAATCATTGTCTGTCTTGGATTTGGTACAATTTAAAACATTCTGTCGGTACATATTGGGCACAGAAAATAAATCCATATGCTCTAGTCTTTCTGTATAAATGCCAATGTGAGTCCAGTCTGTCAGCATCACGTCTGAACCACAATACAACTTACAGTGAAATTGTATACAATTACTAATTGAAACATGATGAAGGTTATAGGTATGGTTTTATCCGCTAACTCATCGTCGACCTTGTAATTAACTGCCTCACAAGGTACCAAAATCTCCATTGTCGGCGGCAAGTTGGCAACAGCGCGGCTTGTCATCACCCTGCACAACCTGTGACAAATCTGTAATGCCTCCTCGCCGGATGCGCCTATGGTCAAGGTATACAGACGTTATATTTGCACTAGCTGTTGCCCGAAGTCGTACGTATGAAACTGTTGCCAACCTAAAACATTGTTTTTAAGAAATGCTAAAGGGTGGGGCATCCGTTGGTTTCTTTTTTAAATTGGTATTAAGACTACACTCTTCAATATTATGTAACACTCCATACTTTATTCAAAAGAATACGAGTACTCCTTATTATTTATAAAAAACAATTGTTATTAAAAACAGCTGATAACGCGATGACCGAACTTAGTGTGTAAAAGATCGACCGTTTTACGGCTGGTGTGACATGTTGCGCCATCCTGCTGGAACCAGAGATTGTGCAAGTGCATGTCGTCTTATAGTGGCCACAGAAAACTCCTCAATATGTCTCTATAACGTTCCTCGTTTCCTCGTTACTGACACGCTGTTACCATCTTCATCTTGAAAAAAGTAGGGACTATTAATCCCACCATTCCAAAAGCGACACCAAACAGTTACTCTTTTTGGATGCATTGGTTTTTCTGTGACGACATATGGATTTTCAGGACCCCAAATCCCACAGTTCTGCTTGTTAACGTAACCTCCCAGATGGAAATGGGCTTCGTCCGAAAAGATGATTTGGCGACCAAAATTGACGTTCGTTTCCAATTGATTTAGAGCCCTTACAGAGAAACGATATCGAAGCGGATAGTCATTTTGCTTCAAATCTTACACAAGTTGCACCTTGTAAGAAAATAATTCCAGGTCGTTATGCAATATTCTCCGCACAGAAGTGCGACTGATGCCCACTTGTGCTCTGTGACGAGTTGACATTTTTGCATTTTCACGCACAGTCTGGGCAACAGCAGCAATGTGTTCAGCGGTACGTACGGGTCGAACACGCTCGTACCTTCTGTTGTCCACAAGCAGGCCAGTTGCATGAACCTTCTTCACGAATTTTCGTATACCAGTTGCGTACGGAGCTTCATTCCGACCAATAGTCTTCTCAATTAAACTGCTGTCTTGATTCAGGTCTAAAGGCCGTCCTCGGTTGAAATTTCTTCCTAACGTTTCGCTAGCATGAGTGGCGAGCTTCCTCAGAGGTCCTTCCATTTCCGATTCTGGATGTAGACAGTCTAGGACCTCTGAAGAAGCTTGCCATTCGTGCTAGCGAAACGTTAGGAAGAAATTCCAACCGACGACGGCCTTTAGACCCGAATCAAGACAGCAGTTTATCAACTGGCCGCGAAAGCCTCAACCAATTTGTCATTCTTTTCAATTTTCGCAAAGTGTCTGCAACACAGCAATCACTTTGAAAATCGTTTTTTCAATATTTCCCACCTTTGTGCGGATTGACACAGTAGATCTGTCAATATGTTGAGCATGGAAGTGTTACCAACTGTCAAAATAATACCAACTCAAGAGAACCAACTGATGGCGCGCCCATTATAAACTTCCGATCACGTTTTAGCCTTTGATGACATTAGTAAAATGACAGGCAACTTGCATGCATGGGTGTATTGTGACACTGCATGCGGGGTGGAAAGCTATAAAAATGTTCCTTTCGAAAGAAGCAGCCACCTAAAGGTCGTTAACCGATCTTTCTCTCTTAAATAACTTTCGAAAGAGATTATTCAATGAAATTTTGAGAGCGCATTTAAGGCTCCACATGGCGGAATCCTTTGGAAATAGTTAACTCATTTGGATTGCCAGGTCAGGATTATCCCGAACACAATTTTGTTTTCATTTCTTCACAATGGGTAAAAAGTGGATTTTTCTAAAAGACTGCTTCTTTATCAGGAAGAGATATATTATTCTTGTTTGATTACAAAAACAAATATATTGGACCACGATCACTAGACGTAAATCCACTAATTTTTTATTGCAGTTGCTTTAGTGATTTTGCATATCAAGCTGATTTGACCACGTTAACAAAATTGGAGTTTCAAAACTCAACCAGCCTTGAGCAAGCTTTGTGTTCAATCAATAAAATGCCATATAATTGCAAAGTGCATTATAGCAGTAGCGTCACTTAAAAAATAGCTATAACCGAACACCTGACAAATTGGCATAGTGATCACAGGGTATCAAAGTGAGACGGGAGAACGGGTTTTCATTAAAATGTATACCTTGGTATGATTTTAGTGCGGATTTCTCGCCATCTTAGGAAACAATAATACGAAATGCTCAGTTCTGAGTGTTATAAAACAAACCTTGTCCAGAAAGATTGTTACTTGTAGAAATAAACTGTGAGACTTTTGATATATAGTAGTAGGTTCAGATGTGATACGCTTGCAGCTGCAGGGGCATCCTTCAATTTCTGGGCACCTTGTATATACAGACGAGTACTTCAGATATAAGTGATATTTTCGACTTCTGATCCTTTTATTTTGTGACTACTGTCATCTCTGTCACTGTGCTGTCACTTTTGTTAAGTTATTTGATTTAAAGATTAGAGTTGCGAAAAGGTGGTTAATAACGAAGAAAATAGTAAGTATTTTCTCAAACTCCTACTTTGCTCATACCAAATGATGAAAAAATGTAGAGCGCATGGTCTTAGCTCCACGAGATTTTGTCGAATGAAGAATGTCGACTGCGAGATTTAAGAAGTCATTTCATGAGTTTCGTGTAACATTTTAGCTGTCTCGTATGCGACATTAACCATTCGACATTCGAGAACAGTCCCCTAGACCAGTGGTCGCCAACCCGTCGATCTCGAGCTACCGGCAGCTCGCAAAGGCAATTCTCACAACATATTTTATGAAGGCGTAAAAATCATAGAAGCTTTCGTCACTTTGTAAATTCTCATAATAAACACAAGCAGCGGCAATACTGCGGTGAGCGATCTGTTCGAGAACGATCTCGATTACTTTGAACGGGATAAATACGCAAGGCGCGGCGACAGTGCGCTCAGCTTAAAACTGAACGGCACAAAGTCCAGCGATTGGGTTAGAGTTGGCCTATAATTAAAAACATTATGACCAGTAGTAAGAAGATGAATTAATACCAGTTCCATTCGGAATGGGAAGAACAATTATGTCTTTACAGAATATAAAGGTAAAAATGCATGTTTGTTATGTAATACATCTGTTTCCGTTGCTAAAAAGGCCATATCGAGAGGCACTATAAAATTGTAGATTCGAATTTGGAAAAATCACTCCCATTACGCTCTGCAACCAGAACGGAAAAACTGAAACAATTAAAAAACCAGTTAATTGGACAACAGACAATGTTTTTTAAAGACAATCGACAAAAGTAAAGCTGCAACTAAACCATAATACCGGGTGTCCCAGATAATTACACAAAAGAAGAAACCTTATAAAGACGGGGAAATGATAAAACATACGTCTTTAGAAGCTGTAGATTCATTATTCGCCAATTTTAGCAATAAAGACGAGATAGTGTCTGCTATAAAATCTGCAACTTTCTGCTAATACAGTGATGAGACGAATAGAAGTAAGGAGCAATGATATAGTTTTCAGTTAGGAAATGACTTCGATAACTGTGCTTATTTTTCACTGCGGCTGGATGAGTCCACATATCTCGCTGACACCTCTCAGATGGCTGCGTTTGACAGGATGATTTTTAGTGATTTTACGATTAAAGAAGATCTTTTAAGTTTATTCCACTAAGAGGACATACTACTGGGCAGGACTTGTTTTCTTCTTTTAAATATATTATTTCTTCCGAGAAAATTCCAATATCATAAATGGTAGGCTTGACTACCGATGGCGCTCCAGCTATGGTGGGTCGTGATGAGGGTCTCGTGGGGTTATGTCGTGAAGATAAAAGTTTTCCGCAATTTCTCTGTTACTACTGCATTATCCATCAGCAAGCATTATGTGGACATTTTCTAAAACTAAAGAACGTTATGAAATTGGTAGTAAAAATTGTGAACAAGATTATAGCTCAAGCGTTACAAAGATTATTCGAAACCTTGAATGATGAAATTGACTGTCAATACGGGGAACTACTTCTTCACTTTGAAGTCCGATGGCTAAGTAGGGGACGAGTGCTGAAACGTTTTAATGATATCATATCTGCCATAGTTCAATTTTTCAAACAACGTGATGAACCGATTCCGGAACTGGAAAATTCAATCTGGCTTAGGGATTTCGGGTTTCTTGTGGATATTACAGAAAAATTAAATGAACTTAATTTGCAGCTTCAGGGGACAGACAAAGAACTAGCAGAAATTATTTCTGATATAAAAGCGCTTAGCAAAAAGCTTGGGAACAAAAATTAATCGATGGCGATACTAGGCATTTACCTGTTATTCCAGAAAATATTTCTAAAAGTCCATTAGAAACACAGTAAATATCACGTAGAAATAGTCTAAAACTTGAAGGATAACTGTAAAAATCGTTTCAAGGACTTCAACGAAATTGCTATAGTGGCGCAATTTGTTGTTTCACCCTTCATGGAAATTGTTATCCAACAGTTTGCAACTTCTGTTACGCCGAATTTTAGCGAAGACATCTCTGTGACAGAAATGGAAGTGACTGCGTTTCAAAATGATTTAGCTTTAAAATCATTACTCTCAAATACAAAATATATCTTGCTTTCAGTAAATACTGTAATCGACTTACAGATGAACATTGGGATACTTGTATTCGAATTGCGTTATCAAATTATACTCCAAACATTAAAAAAAATGTCAGTGAGTCTGGGTGTCAGGCTTCTCATTGAACACACATTTTCGATCTGGACATGTTTTTGTAGTGCGTTGCTTTTTTTATTTTCAGTTACCTTTATCAAATCATATGTGACATGCCATCGTAGCTGATGAAAATTTTGTTTATTATTCAGACACCTACGATTGGTAGGAATGGATGTAGTTATTAGTTTATTTAAGTTTATAACTATGTATTGGTATTAGTAAAATAAACGCATGTACAGGGTTTGTCCGGAAAGTAATAGGACTCATTTTCTTCCGCCATGACTGTACTTCGGAGCCTGCGCGCACCGACTGGATTTGGTAGAGGGCGTTCCTAGCTAACGAATGAGCAGCTGGTCAGTTGTCTCCGAGCACTTGGAGAGTCAGGACAGGCATTATATTCTGTGTGAAACTCGGTAAATCTGCTTTAGCATGAAGTGGTGTGTTTCGGTGGCACCAGGCCTTTTTGGAGGGCCCGGAAGAGGTCGCTGATGAAGACCGTGCAGGAAGACCTTCGACTTCGACAAACACCGATAATGTGACTCGTGTGCGCAAAGTTTTGAACTCATACCGTCGCTCGACTAAGTATTCGCTTAATTGCCCAGATGTTAAATTTACCAAAATCTGTGGTTCATGACATTGTGACACATCATTTGAACATGCGCAAGGTGTGCGCGAAGATGATCCCAAAAGTGCTCTTTGACGACCAGAAATTGCGGCGAGTGGAAGTGTGCCAAGAAAATTTGAACATGTGTGAAAGTGACACAACCAATTTTTGAATAAAGTAATCACAGGTGACGAGTCGTGGATCTTTGAGTATGATCCCGAGACAAAGAGGCAATCTTCCGAGTGGCACACGACGGCGTCTCGTCGCCCAAAAAAGGGAAGAATGAGCAAATCCAAAGTGAAAACGATGCTCATTGTCTTTTTTGACATCAAAGGCATCGTCCACCATAATTTGTTCCTCCTGGACAGACCGTAACCGCCAAGTTTTACATGGAAGTGCTCAGGAGACTCAAACGAATGTTCAGTCGGGTCCGATAAGACATCGCAGCCGACTGGAAGTTGCACCACGACAACGCCCCGGCTCACACCGCCTTTCTTGTGAACAGCTACCTGACCAAGGCCGGCATCATAACGCTTCCGCAGCCGCCCTACAGCCCAGATGTGGCCCTCCCGGACTTTTTTTTTGTTTCCTCGCCTGAAAAGGCCGATGAAAGGCAAGCATTTTGAGACGACAGAGGAGATCCAAGCAGCATGCACCGCGGCTCTCAACGCTATTCTGGAGAATGCCTTCCGTGACGCCTTCAATGCTTGGAAATTGCGCTGGCAGCGCTGCATCGACGCAGAAGGAGCCTATTTTGAAAGTTTTTAAAGAATTGTAACGATTGGCTCAATAATTGTCTCAGTCTTATTACTTTCCGTATGCATGTCGCATACAACTGTGTATAAGTGTAAAGTTTACATTGCTGACGACAAGGTAGCTCACTATTTATTCCAAAATTATCAACACACTGAAAAGGTTGGCGACCACTGCTCTAGTCCATAAGCAACTATACGAATATTGAATTTCCTCTACTATCTAATCCTTTCAGGACAAGGCAAGCAATGACTTGATGATAAATGCAGTAATCCTAACACTTGCACTTGCAGCCGAAATCGCCTTCAGCAAAAAGGGAAAATTGCAGAGGCCTCTACAAATACCATATATGGAAGAATGCCTGCAGCCTTCAAGTTCTACGTATTGTATCACCAAACAATAAGCGCACGAGCGTTTCTGTGATTTCGATGTTCCGCAAATTACAGCGTCTTCTCGATTTGCTCGCTTCGTACAAAACTGTTATTATCTACCTGAAACTACTGAAATATTTTCCGATATGCTTGAAAAGCCATGGTGCGAGATTGAAAGGAGCATTTAGAATCAATCAGAATAGTCAGAATCTTAATATTTGCTTTTAGTCTGTAGTCTGAACATGTTCGACTGTTTTTTTTACTTTTATAATTTATTATAGTTAATTATTGACAAGTAAGTAGTATTTGTCCCATCAAGGCCTCTGCTTTAATTTTGCCAATTTTGGCACCGTTCAACCATTCACAGACCCGACTTATAACTAATTTTAATATCATATTTATTCACATTTTATTTTTGTCTTACTAATTTTTATATTTGCTTTCAACCTGTTTTTGCCATACACACATACATGTATGCCTTTACTGTAGCTCAATTAAAACTTCTTTTTAATGTGTGACTTACGTCTGAATATGTCTTTACTTCAATAATTTATTATAGTTAATTATCGACAAGTTAGTGTTTTTTGCCAGTGACTCTATAACCACCACAGCTTATTAGTACGTGAGTACAGAACTACGTAATGTGTTACCAAATCTGTTCATAAACTATATAACTGCGTACATTCAAATGCCCGTTCATGCAACAATATTTGGAATTGTACTTTCTGGCAGATGAATTATTATTATTATATTATTTATTAATTATTGTTAGTTATTATATTTATTTGACTTTGCGCCCATTTTGCAGGTGAAGTGAGTCAGATCAAACAGAGATGAGACTGTCAACTCAGTGAATGTCAGACTCATTTCACAGTTCAAATAGAGCAGCTGACCTAACCTTGATCAGAACATAACCTTCATGAATGATATTTTTTAATTCATCATGGAGCTTAATTCAAGACTACATATTTTTGCTCGCATGGATCCCCCTGAGAATATAATTGTAAAAAAATCTAAAAATCTCACATTTCGGATTTTCTGGACTTTGCGCAAGTGATGACAAATCGCACACAGCTGAGATTGGCGGCAGTTGTCTAAGGGGGACAAAGAGATCTCACCTCAATTAAACTGTGTTTTTATGGTTACTGAGGTGGACGTATTTAAGATTGTGCTTAAAACGAGTGCAACTAAAATCTTGGAGTAAGCTCCAAATACCTTCGCATTGTTGACTACAACAAAAAAAATTATAATTGTATCCACACTACGAGCCACGGTCTTGCGTGCTTGCGAACCTACTCGACTATGTAGTTTGCTGAATCACGCAATAGTGGACTGGTGTACGATTTTGCTTGACTATAACATAACTGCACCTATTGTTCAATATAGTGAGGTAAAGGTATCTGTGAAGGGTCTGTGCGTTGGTTACTGCACGCAACGTCCTATTCCGCAAAACTTACACACTTCGCCTCGATAACTCCGCATAACAGTCGGTCTGAGCAACTGGGTGCACTCAACCTCACTCAGCTACACGCTGCCAAAATACATGCACTCATCTCAATCCAGCCGTGAGTTTGAGTGCACTCGGTCGCGTACACCATCTGTTACGCGGCGATATCGGCATACGTATTTTAGCTTAGAAACATCAAGAGCCCAAGATTCATTCATTCATTGTGCCTCTTACACCACAAAACATATACACTGAAGAAGGTTTAATTCCATGCTATTCAATGGTAACACGATGACTTGTGTGGTTGTCAGCGGCCATTTTTTGAGGGCGCGACATGCTTGTCAGATTGTGCATTATTGCCCTGCGACGTTGCCACCTCTACATATTAATCTGAGATTGCAAAACTTTTGTATACAGTGCTTTTCTTTAATGTTCTCCTCCCCTTTGATTTTTTGAACGGGTCAATTCAAAAAATTAAAACTTGAGGTAATGAAATTGATGCGTCGGTACCATATTTTAGAGTAAAATTGACAGATGAAAATGACAAGATGGCCGCTGAACGCCATCTTGGAAACAAAAAATATATGAAAACGGGGGTCTTGTGGCACATCATTTTGAAGCTCCTGACGAGTACTTTGTAACCCTAGAATATAAAGTCAATACCTTTACCTACTACAAAATAGTGGTACATTTAATGACTACTTGAACACAAACCCACTAACATGCATATCTCTACAAATAGTTGTAATTCCCTGCCGTACCCACAGCAACAGCGATAAAAACTGGTTTTGTTATTTTTTGTTGACAGTGTCAAGAATATCAGTAGGAAAACAAACATCATTGTACAGTTTAAATATTCGTATTTAGTTTTCGGTTTTAGTGCTAGATACTGTTTGAATTATTTTTAAAATGCTCAATGCTCGTCCATTGGAAGAAAAAATCGAAGCGATTTTTATTTTTGGGGCGACGCGTAACTTTCCCGAGACCGGAAGGATTTTTAGCGATCGTTTCCCGAATTGTCCTATCTGTAGAAAATATTTAAGGGAACCTGTATCTAAATTTACAGCTACTGGTAGTGTAAACAACAAAAGGCCCCCAGCTCATCCGACCATCCCGGAAGAAAAGCAAGTTCAAATAATTGGTGAGATCATAGCAAATCCCCAACAGTCTACTTCCTCCATCGCAAATGTATGTGAGGTTTGTCCTTCTACTGTATGGAGACTTTTGAAAAAGAATAAGTATCACCCAGACAAAATTCAAATGGTATATCAGCTAACTGAAAATGACCCTGATCGAAGAACAGAATTCTGCGAGACTATGACGGAAACCATTGCACGGCATCCCACCGATTTCCAAAATATTTGTAGTGATGACAGTAAAGTGCATAGACAAAATTGTCGTTATTGGAGTGACACCAATTCTGATGTCTCCCCGGAAACTCATACTGAATATCCACAAAAAATTAATGTTTGGGCTGGGATATTGGGAAATCATATTGTGGGGCCTCTATTCATCGAACAAACTTTAACCGAGGAACTGTATTTGGATATGCTGGAAAATACTATTGACCCTCTAATCTCCGAAAACGTCGAAGCGAATCCTAGTGAATTTGATACCGATATTGTATTCCAGCAAGATGGTGCTCCACCGCACTACTGCAGACAGGTTAGAAATTATTTAGATAACAATTTCCCCGATCCTTGGATTGGCCGTCGAGGACCTGTGGAATGGCCAGCTCGCTCGCCAGATTTGACACCTTTAGCCTTTTTCTATGGGGCTATTTGAAGCAAAAGCTGTACGAAACTGAACCTGCTTCAATATTGGCTGAGAATAACAAATATTTGTAGAAATGTCGGTGTTACTTACAAAATGTTCGACGCGAAATTACAGACAGGCTGTGTCAAGAACTTCAAGGCAACCATTTCCAGCATCTTCTAAACTGAACTCAAAGTATTCATTCGAATTATCAAGTTAAGCGTCAATGTATTCAGGTAGTTATTAAATGTACCATCATTTTGTAACAGGTAAAGGTATTGACTTTATATCCTGGGGTTATAAAGCTTCAAAATTATGTATCTCAAGACCACCGTTTTTTTCCAAGATGGCGCTCAGCGGGCATCTTGACACTTTCAACTGTCAATTTTACTCTAAAATATGGTATCGACGCATCAATTTCATTACCTCAGGTTTTAATTTTTTGAACTGATCCGTTAAAACAATCAAAGGAGAGGACATTAAAGAAAAGCACTGTATAGAAATTTGGTGGGATACGGGAGATCTTATAACAGCATGCGTTATTAATATTTTGCACTGTCTTGACGAATAATTGCTTTTTTGTATGTTAAAATAGCAATGTTAATAACACAAGCTGTGATAGGATCACTCATATCTACTTACTAATTTGGAAAGGTTCAGAAGAAAAACATATACTGCAAATACCTAAATATATATTTATTATATAAATCTCATACATTTTCATACAAATCAGTATTAACCTCATTATGGTCCAGATATTTTCATTCCCCAGCCTTTGTTGGTACCTGCATAAATCAATAATTAGGAAAAAATTGAATTCTGTTGATATGTTAGTACAACTCACATATTTCATGTTTGATTATAACATTAATATTATTGTCTATGGGTACCCACAGAAATTTGATAAGAGATAACTTTATGTGAGATTGTACCTACCCCCAAAATTTGTTGAAGAGCAGAGGATTCAAGTTTCTCAGGGTGGACAAATCCTACAAAATTCTCAAAGTTGTACACAAAAGCATGCTAAATATGCAAATTTTAAAGTCAAGCAGATTTCCAGGAGAGATCATGGGCCCCCTAACAGCGTCCTGTGGCCACCCATGTTATTGCTCCATAACTACACGTGACTTCACTTTCATTGAAATTATAGTGAGCTTTGCATATCAACCCTGCTTAATTTGGACAAAAAGCAGCACAAATCATCACTGGTTATTGAGTCAAAAACTTATAAATTTTATTGCCTGCAAATATATTTCAGAGCTGTGCCTTTAGGTTAGATCGCAAGTAATCTCCGAAATTCTGACAATTCTTAGGACCTCAGGTTTTGTAATGGCTATCACTCCACAACTGGATCAAATGAATAAAGTTGCACGTGCACTGCTGCGACATTTTTCATTAGCTTGCATCTCTTCGTTTCGCTTTGCTTCACCTGTTCGGTTCACTTCTCGTCTTTTCGCCTCGTTTCTCCTCATGAATACACACCTTAATTTGTAAAATACTATGAAAAAAAGTTATCATAGTACAACCATCAATTTTCTGAATAAATGTTTTGAGATTACAGAGGAAATGATTTTTTATAAATGATTCCACGTAATCGACTTGACGTAATACTGCGGCTGCGACTGACATTCAGTTAACAACTTTGTAAATGATCGCGCCGATCGTATTTATATTAATGTTGGTGCTGAACGCTATTTGCATCCAATCAGAGGTTGTGGAATTCTTCTCTAAAAAGGTTTGACCATTTAAAACTGTATCAATTTCATTTAGATAACGCATCCTGCTAGATGAGTAGGCATTGCATAGATAATAGGAACGTTATATGCTCTGAATGCATAATTGAAAGCTCTTGTTAGAAGAAATGTGATCACGTGTTGGATATGTGTGGTCTATAAGCTGGTACATGACCAGTATGTAATAGGTTTTTAATATTTTGCGAACCGTGGCCGTTACGTTAATAAATAGCGTTCTCTGATGCAATGGCAAAATCGACGGTATAATTTGAGTGATCTTTAATCTAGCCATAATATGTTTTCAGAAATGCCTAGAATATTCAAACTGGAGATACAGCTAGCTACCTTGCGCATCTCATGTCATTGGCCACGGTTCACGAGCAAATGATAAAGTCGATCCGTTTCAAAAATATCTCTATAAGGTCGTTTCCATAGTTAATTTCGTGAGAACCCCAGAATACGAAATATATCGCCTACGCACTTAATGTTCGTACCGTCAATAGATTCATGTGTCAAGATATCTGTAAGATAAATAATAAAAAAACCTATACAATGTCATCTTGCAGACTAGGTAGTATTTAGGGTGCAGTCAATTTTACTATTCAAACCAGTATTGTGATGGAAAGCTCCTTCGATGCAAGTAAAGCATTAATTTCATTGTAGAAACTAGACGCAATGACAACCAATGGTTTTTAGAGGTTGAGGAGGATAGCCTCCGACTTTATTGATATCAACTCCGGTGTTTGGGTTTTAATGGATGGACCATGCCACAAGGGTATTTAAATATTTTCGGTTTATTTCGCTAAACTTTTCATATGTTATGCGTCTTAGTGTCATTAACAAATATTGTCACGATTGACCACTCTGTCAGGCTTTACATGTGTCAGCTCGCCACCTTATCAACATATATCCTAAACCATATCCGCTAATGAGTATGTATGATCCGCAATCGAGTATTCTTATCAGCCGAAGTGGGGATATTATTGGTTACAAAAACTAGTTGGGCTGACATTATGAGGAAATTCCCTCTCAAGAGGCAGTTCCCTATGTGGTATTAGGTCATTAGACGTTTATCCTTTCATCTATGGAGGAATTACTAAACTACAGGGCATTGTTGGTTGCATATGTTTTGTGAAGCTGAGTAGTCTGTAGTTTTCATCTCTGAGAAGATGTGAAACAATGAAAGTTGGTTGAAGAGCAAGACCGCATCTGGATGATTATGTTTTTTGGTCTGCATGTGTATAAAGACAGTGATTTTTGCTGTGTGAGGAAATCATCACTAAATATGCTGCCAATGAAGTATATCTATTAGCTGTGCCCGACGGGTTATTTATATGTTGACCTTTTTGAACACAGGTTATGTTCAAAGCTTTGAATCACGATTTTCCCATTTTTTTTTTGTTCTCAAAAACTTTAAGGAGCACTACGAGAAATCGCCACCATACTCGCGTTGTGTGCAATTAAGCCAGATCACAGAAAAATTAGTAATGACGCATCACACATCGAACATTTTCGCAATGCCTCACATCTGGCGCTGATTTGTATTTTAATTTCTATAAAATTTAAATGACTGCAAATAAAAAGTAATGTATTAATATTCTTGTCTGTAGCATATCTTTTCATGTGTTCAATTGTAGGCCTCCTTGATTGTTATAGTTTTCTACTTCTCCGTGTCAGCGCTCTATTTTGAGGTTATGTTGTATTTGCATCAAATTGTGCTTGCTTTTGAGTTATATCACGTTTTATCAGCCTGAAATTTCCTACAATTTAAAAAGAAAACATATCTCTACAATAGGAGAGCCCTGACGCTGACACGGGACAAGTGTAATCTAGAAATTTTTGAAGGAGAGAAAGGAGTATGACAATCAAGGAGGCCATAGACGCGCCCTACAATTGTAGGGACGACTGACGATACGGGCCTAAGATGCAAATAGAGGTCTGCATCCACTTTCTGTCTCCTATTTCTATTACCTTGGTGGTAAAATGGCTTTTCATACGTTTAGCGTTATTTACTATGGGTGCTAGAGAAATTGCTCAGATTCAACGAGCTCTTAGGAAGCCTGATAGCTGTCCGTAAATCTTGTTACCGATTTGTAGCTCTTCAACAGCTCCAGAAAAGTAGACAATTTGCAATGATCAATGATTTGAATACGGTAGCATTGCCTTTCATGATTTTTCAGGGTACGCCAAAAATATTGATATCGCCTTCCCTATTGCCGAACTTTCTACGTCTCTGTACAATACAGGAATTTATCCGACATTTGAGAATTGGTTATACTGGAGCCAAAACAGATTAAAGCCCATTTAACTACAAAGGTGTCAAAAGCAGGAGCTACAAAGTGAATGCAGACCCATATTGGTTACTAACAGGCACGTATTGACTCTGTTTTGAGAAATAAATACATTCAACTGGAATAATTTTTAAAATCATCCATTAATAAAAGGATTGTTGCTTGAACTAAATCGGTTTGGTTTGGTATTTGACAAGAATTATGCGCCATCATACTGAAGCTCATACCTTTGTGCTGGCAATTTAATGCGCTGGGCACAAATTTGTTCGGAGGGAAACTGAAAACAGAAACAATCCTATTTTTGAAAAGCTATTATTTCATTATACGTACTGCTTATGGAGCTTTTATGATTGTATTAGCTTTTAAATTTAAGTATCAAGCAGACAAATTAATTGAAACCGCACGCAGAGTTTTTTATTCTTCAAACTGAAATGCCCGATATTCGGTGGTGAAATTCATTGATTTTGGGCCTTACCTATATAGAAAGGAAAATTTGCTGTACTTAAAACCTGTAATTGAGGCCTCCTATCACACCCTGGAAGGAATTCAGCGAATTACCAGTAAACCTTATAGTGTTAGTGCTGAAAAAGTTTTATACAAGTCTCGTTTGAGAAGGTTGTTATTGATCTCGCATATGTCCTTCAGCGCTACGTGTCTATCAACTTTCACAAAGTGTTTTTCTCCTTATTCCAGATATTCGGGCATCCGACAAGGGCACACGAACTGGGCGATGAGTGCAACAGCGATTGGGAATGCAAGGACCACATCTCGGGGGCGATTTGCCAGCGGGGGAGGTGCACGTGCCAGCCCTTCTACGCCAGGGTCAATCAGACCACGTGTCTGCAGTGTGAGTGACGATCTTAATGCCAACGTAATCTCGGATTGCCTAGGGGAATTTAATGGGAACTAGGGTCAGTTTTACTTTCGGTGGGGATGGTTTTTGCGGGGCATTAGGATTTAAGGGTGCCACAGGCGATAGGGGGATTTATTTTAATTAATTAATGTCCACTAAAAGTGCTGGAAGTTACATTGTGGTTGTGTATTTCATTCGCCGCACTCAACAGTGAATGCTGGCTATTCATAAACTGTTGAAATTGACATTTTTAATAGAAATATCTTTAGTACAGCTATTTTCGCGAGAAGTTCACAATCCCTTTACATTCCACAGCTTTATGTGAAAAATATTGCTTCATACATAATGTAATAATAAATTTAGTAACATCCAAAATATTCGGCTAGTTTTCGCGGAATTTGAAAACAAGAAAAATAATATTTCTACTGAAAACCAGTAAATCGGTTTTTCAAGGTAAGCGGAGTACTAAAAAAATAGAGCTGTCTCAAAGAGTAATGTAACTTACGTGAACCAGTGACATACAATGACAAAGCATTCATGGGTACCCTTCTCCCTTCATGCACAATCTGATTGTACCCTAAAATTTCCATTTTTAGCAAAGATTTGTGTACAACATTCTCCAAAAAGAGTATTAACTTAACTTTCACAAAAACTTGCTTCCTGCTGATGAACGACTGCCCTCACTGGGAAAAATTCCTTCGGGTGCTTATTTCAGATCTAATTAAGAACGTTTATCATCTAGAATCCCATATAGCACAATTTTCATCATTTTCAACGGATGCAACATCTGTAGGTTATGATTGCGACCCTGGACATATACGCATAAGTGACATTCACGTGTAGATGTTCGTTTAAAGTTCTATTCTAGCCGATGTTCAACCAATTTTTGAATGTTAAAGAGAATGAACTATTCGAAATAGATGGAAACATAGAGTGTAAAATTGATGTCCACTTGCTCTAAGAATTGTCAACAATCACAGATTATAAGGTTTTATATACTAAAACCAGTTTGGAGACGTATAAAGATTTTTATTATTAATATTTTTAATGCCTTACGGAAAAGGACTCTTAGCTCTTTTCTCTGTTATCGGTCGTTGAGTTATCAATGCCATACGATATAAGTAAGCAGATCGACTAACTGAACCATGTGCGGAGCTGAAGCTCCATGGAAGAATTGCGCGCTGCTCAAACCGATCTTAAACGCGGCTGCTCTTGCACACATGAACTAGTTAATAAAGGACCATTGCTTTCATTCACCTTCTCAAAATACTCTCTAAAACTATCGAATGTGTCCGTTGGCTGTATTTTCAGGTACAAGGCCACTGCTCGCACTGTGATAAAAAATTAGTAAATCCAAAGCTACACTCTAAAAAAAACTGAATCAAAATTTGGTTTTAGTTCACATCAGAATTAATCCGTCTGAAAATGCCTAGGTGTTTCCTCTTAAACTGATACGCTTCTATTTTTCGGTTTGTCTTCCCTTCCTTTTCTCTTTTTCCTTAACATTGTCTGGTTTCTGACACGTGATGAATAGTTACGATGGCGAGAAATATTTGAAACTGCATATGTATGTCTGAATATCCAATGTACCAATAGCGTTGTTCAAAAGGAACCGGTATCCAATGGCGTCTTTTCGGGACGGATATCTCTGAAACAGAGTGGTGCTTCAAAACCTTCAAAAGAAAAAATAATCTTAGAATCGCCCAAAGTATGACGCCATGAAACAGTGCCTCTAAAACATCTCCACAAGTAAGAAATGAGTCAAAGCAATTTATTTTGCTCCACTCTTTCAAGTAGAAGCTGTTTGACACCAATTAACAGTTACATCAAAAATAACTAATATATGGTTTCAAATGCAGTCCAGTCATCAAGGTAATTACTGAATGTTATCTTGGTTATCTCGGCAATGATATGCACGTGAGCAGAAGCGTCGTATGTGTAGCAACATTTCAAATTACTTTTTTTTGTTACTGATATGTAATAAAGGCTGACCATATGATGTCTTACTGATAGCTACAAGTAATTACTTTCAGCATGATCGGTCTTATAATTGTACCAATGTGTAACATTTGTGCCAAGTCACTACAACAGAGATCAGAGGAGCTAATAATTAGTCATATTATGCGCTTGTTAAAGTTTTGATTGTCGCAATCTTTGAATGCAAGCACTTCCTCACACCATGTTAAGAGACTTAATTTTGTTCGCTGAGAAAGCTTACTAACACAGCTGAACTACCAGCATAACCTATATCTCAAACGTCGTCAGTTTCAGTTCTTGGTTAACAGAATCTGAACTAATACGTTACGCCTGCCCCAAGTTGGTAAACGACGGTCAAATTTGTCTTATAATCTACAGTTTTTGACCACGATGATTCATGTTTTTGCTTTTGTATAGTATGATCATATCTAGTAGATCTGAATTTAGAATACATATCTGGCTAATGGAAAATGCTTTCCAATATATTTACAAGATTATAATAAAGTGAACTGTAGAATTGATTCCATAAAGAGTACCGTTTATGCCTTGGTGCCCCGCCTCTTGTAGAGCAGGTATTTTTCTTTTGTTAGGAAATAAACCTTCGTGAGAATAGAACAATTGGTGTTGTAGGACGATACTTATACTATAATTACTGTCATAATCGATTACCTTCCTGGTTTTCAGACAATGACCACGTTACACTTCCTGAAATTCGATGTTAATCTGCTCAATTTATGGATCACCATCTAAGGATTTTGCTCTTAAATTTAAATGTTCCGTAAGAAGAAAAATAAATTTGCATTTTCGATGAATCTCTTAAGTGCAATAATACCGTCACGGAAGGAATAGAAAATATAGAAAACGAGCGAGCATCTATTATTTTACTTCCCGAGCCAACTGGCGTGATTATAATCAAAAGTTCTAAAATGAGATATTATCTTTTTTGGATGTTATATGACATGATTTACGTTATGTACTATACGGATTTCGATAAAATTTTTACACAAGGTTACTACCATTCCAATGATGAAAAAGCTTTGTAGTTTTGAACATCGGTCCAGTGGCGACCAAAAACAAAAAGTATAAATTGCTTAAACTTTGTTTTAGGTGACCTTGTTTTCAAAGTTTCAAAGGATCCTGTTTGAAAATAAATTAAGAAGTCTATGCACCCATTAGACACATCATAGATTTCCCCGCACATTTTCCTTTAGAACTTAGAATGAAAAATATTTGCGATACGCGTCTGCCTCTGCTCCCGGCTGCGAGGCGGTGTTGGTAAATGTGCTGGTATTACTACCGCTCTACCTCATCTGACTTGCTAGGTATCGGGAAGAGGTGACGTTGCCCGATGGACCACCGGTAGGGCAGGAAAAGAATGTCAATGGACTAACTGTATGGACCTGTTTGACTCACTTGGCCCACTTAATTTTTCTGTTATACATGTCCGCAACTAACTTATTCCTCAGACGGTCTAAATAGTGCATGAACATAATTCTTCAAAAACTGATGACGGTATTGCGTGGGAAGTCCAGAGTCAACCTACTTGACGCGATTCTTTTTGTAACTAATTAAATGTTTATATACTCTATACGGGCTGCACTTAATGCTAAGGTTTTAGCGAAGAACATTCCAAACACCAAAAGTATCAAACCATGAATAGTTTGTAAATTAATATGAACGTTCTGACTTAAGTTACTTTTTTGTAGGAGAAAAATAAAACAGAGTTTTCTTTTTGGGCGCAAAAAAGAAAAACCTATTCTACCCACATTTGCCAGATAAAAAATCAATCTAAGGCGTTTAGCTCAACATATCCTCAGCGACCTGCTACCTGAAAATGAACTTTCCATTATTAGAAATTAATAGAGTATTGCAGACCCACATTGTTGAAAAAAGGAGAAATTGATATGATAGCAATGTTCCTTATTTAGACAATATATCGTCCTAGAGGCAAGTGTTTTTTTTAGTTATTCGGATTTGTTACTGATAACCTGAGGACCATAGAGAGAACACCTGTCTTGTTTATTGGAGAAGTGAAGTTTTTATGAGAGTAACTGTTGATGATTGTGTTTGGGTAGCCGATATGCTTTTAAAGAAAGATTTTCCCTGTCGTTTGCGGAATTGACCAGGGGTCCTATGCTTGGCGCTTATTTTAAACGCCTGTTTGGTGGCGGGCTTGATCTTAGCCTGGAATATATTTGGGTTGTGGGCATATTCGACGTTACTGAAGAGGTGATCAATAATGCTTAAGCTCCTTTTTGGACACCTCTGGTAAGATTTAGATAGCGCAAGGACATGCTGTTCTGCTCTAAGACAATTATGAATGAAAAAATTATTCAGTAATGGTTCGGTCTATTTTTGTATCTTGTGAATGGTGACTTCTAAACCTTAAAAGCCAATGTGGTAGCAAGGCCTGATTTTAATATCCGGTTTTCGAAATCTGACCCGCGGATCAAAAAAGACCATTCAGTAACAAGATATTAACCACTGCTAAAGCTACGGATCAAATTTTGATACAACACCTAGATTGATAGGTCAGCAATTACTAAGCATTTTATTGGAAATGATAATTATTGTGTCACTACTTACCTGAGAGCGACAAATTTTCAGAAAATGATATATCTTTGTGAGTTCTTATTGATGTTGACTCGCTGGCAATATACAGAGTATGAGAAAAGTCATAGATTAAACGAAAGGGAGTGATAGGGGGGTCATTCCAATCGGAGAAACCATATATGGTATGTGCCTATCCGGCTTACAGGATTTTGTCTATTTTGCGCAGAAACTATTTAGGATATCTGACTGCATAAAATGAATTTTGCAAGGTCATCATATCAAGAAGTTTTCATAGTTATGGGTACCTTATCTGCCCACTAGTTTTTTTGTACAGGCCTTATTGAATTTGCACGGATTTGTGGTTTAGCCGATTGCTGGACTAATTTATCACTAATAGCTTTCTTCCAACGATACACCCTCTGAGAACATATCCTGTGAAGCTGATTGAAAGATAGTAAAGGAAACTTCAGTTAAAAAAATAGTACATTCTCAAAAGTAGAGATTTTCTTAATTCTTACAAATGGCGATAACACAAAAACCATGCATAATCGTATAAGGACATATTTGGTTTTTCTGATTGGAAGTGAACTCCTTATCAGCCTCTTCCATGTTAATGACTCTTGTTTCTGATTGATCGATTTTTTTGTAGAAGCAAATTTTGATCATTGGATCAAATGAAAAAATAGGCTTTTCACAAATCGTTATATTTTTAGTTAGTTTGACAGATATTCTGGGAGAAATCAACTATATTCGTAGATCCGTTAGTTCAAGAAATTCCTTCTGATTGGTCAATTTTGATCAATAGTAAAATCGGACTTAAATCGCAGTATTTATTTTATTTCGAGAAGTCTACGACTATCAAAAACCCTTTTCAGCAATCGATAGCATATATTTGAAGTTCTGTGAGCTGTGCTTCATAGAAAAGAAACTCAGCCATTTGACTCTTGTTACAGTTTCTTTTTATGGTCTACTAAAAACTAACTATATCTTGATAAAGTAAATTATTAAGTTTTACTTATTTAGAATAATAATTTTATGACAGTTCTTAAAAATATTGAATTTTATTCTTATCGCAAAACACGTCTCTTCTTCTAATGGCTGTGTGGTGGAAGATCGTATCCTACTCTCCATCTCATTGAAGGTCATCGCCGGGATGTGGTTGATGTTTCTGTTCGACAATAGAGGGCGTCCGGTATGGTTAATGCAGAAACGGGAATTGTTTCGTTGTAGCATTGTTTTTGTGAGATTAAAACTCATAATTTTTTTTAATTTCCGTCGACCTTAAATACGAGAGCTGAACCTAACTTGGTGCTATTTCTGCTGCTCTCATGTAGCAGTTCAGTGGCCTCAACCTGCGTTAGTGAACCAATTTCACACCCAGTGGTGAAATTTGCCGGGTTGTGGAAATTTTGATAGAAATCGGCCTCCATTGGTAAATTTTGTTGTCGGGACCCTTTTCTCACCCTCTTGGGGATTTTGTCGTTATTGCAGCTGCACCTAAACCATCGAGCTGAGTGAAAGCTCTGTATTAGCACTCCGATACGATCTATAAGTAGGACTCACGTTTACGAGGAGCAGTCCCCCATTTCCATGTACTCTCATTGTTCGACAGTTCTGCTTTTGGGTTCTGATTTACATCTGGGACTTCCTATCCTTGGTTACCTTTGCCTCGGAGCTTAGATTTGGCTAGCCGCTCCGAGAAGCTCCATAGCAGCTATCCCTTCTCTTGTGTGGGAATCAATCCCACCATTGTGTAATAGCAAAGCACATGTTTTTTTAATTCAGTTATTGCTGGAAACCATTTAGGTGGGGAGTAGTACCAAATAATTTCATTTTGCTTGTCTGCCAGGACCCCTTTTTAAAAAAGTGTTTGTCGCATAAGTGTTTGTGTGCCTTGTGAACTTGTGTTTCTTTTAGCTCCATCATTTAGAAGTCAGCTTAACTTTTATAGGCCGAAAGGCGCTACTAAGTAGTTATTTCTTTTTCCTAGTTCCGAGAACTAGGTGGTACCCAAACCTCAACCATTTGTATGAAAGACCAAAGTACAGAGAAATACACTCTGAGGTCACATTATCTACCAACTGAGCACGGGGTTAGTTATATTTTTTCCTCAAATTATAACTAAAAATATAGATAGGATACCACAGTTATGCGGGATAACACTCTGCAGCAAATTGTTTATACTTGCGTGTACTTTCTATCAATAGAGATAGGTCTCTTTCATCTTAGATTATTTCACTTAGACCTGTACTTATTTTAGATTTTTGTTTCTAGCGACTCTCCTGGGCTATGACTGCATGGTAGCCGAGCAATGTTCCTTGAAGGTGGCGAACAGTAGCTGTCTGGATGGCGTGTGTCGATGCGTGGACGGTTTCCTGCAGTTCCGGAAGCATACCTGCCTCGGACGTGAGTATCCATATAAATATTCGCGCAATTATATTCAGGCCCGAGAAATTCAAAATCAGATTTCACTACTACTCACAAAACGTCAGTCAGATATACAGGGTTTAGAGTTAGTACGAGTAGTGAATCAACGGAAGTCAGGTGATAAATAAAATATATCGAATGAACGCTATATGTGTGGTCCGAAATTTTATAGTTCAGGAGATATTTGCAATTTTAGGAAATTTCGATAAAAAAAAAACGGGATAATGAACTTTCAATCGGAATTACAATTGAACCATTAGATTTAGGACTGTGTTTTTTTTACATAAGCTAACTGCTCAGTTTTAGCAATGGCTATGCCACTTTTCAACAGAGCTAATTAAAAATCAACGCAAAAAATCTTAAATTCATTCTTTTGTGAAAAATCTCTTCCATCCCTCAACTTTGGAGGCGGTAAAAAAATTGGGCTGAAGTATTCAACAAAAAATTAGTTGGACCATACGAATTGTCCACCAGTTTGGTCAGTCATATCTTGTTTTTCTACAAAGCAGTTTGCATGAGCTGCTAGAGGATGTACCTTTGGACGTTCGAAGCCGTATTTTCAATGCGATGGTGCCACTTTGCACGTGATGTACGGCATTACTTAGACAGTGCCTTTCCTGAGCGTTGGATTGGTAGAGGTGGACACATACGATGGCCTCCAAGGTCACCCGATTTAAATCTTCTAGATTTCTTTATATGGGGGTTTATCAGGGGATAATCTATACATTGGAATATACAAATGTCAACCAACTGCGCCAGAAAATTGATGAAGCAAAAATAAAAATTATGGAAACCACAAATTCATTTCAAAGACAATTTTATTAGAAGGTGTCGCTTGTGTATAGAAAATAATGCAGGAATTTTAGAATATATTCTTCGAAATATAGTGTTTATTCTGCGTGGTTTTAAAATAGCTTTCACAATAAAATGAATAACAAAATATAACCTCAATTTTTTTACCGCCTTCCAACGTTGAGGGATGGAAGTAAATTTTTCACAAAAAAAGTAATTTAAGATTTTTTGCGTTGATTTCTAATAAGCTCTGTTAAAAAAAGACACAGTCATTGCTAAAACCAGCCATTTAGCTCATCTCAGAAAAAAAATCACAGCCCTAAAACCTACTGACTTAGTTGTCATTGCGATTGAAAGTTCATTATTCCGTTTTTCTCGGAATCTCACAAAATTGCAAATATCTCCTGAACGATAAAAGTTTGGACCACACATATAGGGGTTCATTCGATAGGTTTTGAGGCCTCTATCATCTGACTTCCGTTGATCCACTACCAGCTTTACACCCTGTATAAGTTGAAATAACGGTAATAAGAGATCAATCAAGCTTCATGCTTGGTGAAATTCGGTTTACACCCACTCCAAATGGCTTATGTCGTGATACTGCATTTTTCACTTGCTGCAGTTCTTCATATTATTATACATGCCGACTCGCAGTGGTACATTTATACGGAAAACTGGCAAAAATTAATTACCTATTTCAAACTTAACTCCTGAAACTATGTTGGTGATGAATACATAACTTTGCCTACGCTACTTTTACCATGCAGACTATAAAACTTGAAGTTTGTGGTGTATAATTCGACACTACTTTTTTACGGCAAAAATCGTGAGGTCCTGTCTTATCCGATGACTTGTGTGCTCAAATATTTTCAAATTAAAGCGGAATCCAACGTTCATTAAATGTAATAGGTATGTCATTATTGTTGTTTCCATGCATGCCATGGGTTAGACGCTCACTTTTTATGTTACTATTATTCCGACACGTTTTTAATAACGTTCTGTCCTTTACCCAAATTGGGATCAATGATATTTGTGGAGCTTGAAGCACTGCTAGATGAAATCTTGGTATAATATAACCTTATATACTGCCATATTAATGCAGCAGCTCAGTCAACTCTCCTAAATTTGTTATTTAAGTGGCCTTAAGATGATCTTAAAATGCCTCTCTATGGACAAACTGGTCTCTGATTAGAACTTCATGACCGCAAAAACCTTATTTTGATTTTGTCATTGACCTGACCTTGAAATCACCTCCTAATGTCCTTGCAGTGATTAACTCACCTTAGGTTCGGACCCAGTAACCAGAAAAACCTAAATAACATCTGGTTGGGCTCAACTGCTCGGCTTCTTTTGAGTGTCCGTGATATGACCTTGAAGTGACCTGATAGAGACAAACTAACCCTGAATTTGGAAACAGCGACTCAAAAAATCCTGCTGTAATAAGTATCGTATAATTCCGGTACAAATTGTATTCTTGCAAGGTCTTTGGCGTTCTGGACCGCTACATGACTCGAAGAGAAATGATTATTTTGAAATTCAGTCAACATCGCGGTAAATTTTCGAGTATGCTCGCTTAGGGTGAATTTTTAGCAATAATTTTTGACTAAGGTTTGCAGGGATATGAAACAATCCTGAACGAGGGAAAGTCCTTTAGATGTTTTTTAAACGACTTATTTTTCGAAGGATTATACATTCATATTTATTGTCTAATGAACGGATTATTTCTTGAATCGTAAAAAGAGTCACTAATATTACCTCTGGCAAAAAACAGCCTACATCATATGCTGGTTTGGGACCGATTGGTATCCTACCTGTGGTATCTATTGGAGAAGGCAAGGTACGCTCAAATAAATGATTATCTTAATCTTAAATATTACCATCAGTGCAATGTGGTTTCCGAAAGGGCTACCAGACGGCAGGCAAATTATTGTTGGAGCTGACAGACAATATTGTTAGAACGTGGGATCAGCATATATGATAACAAAACTAGCACTTCTTGATTTTACTAGGGCGCTCGATAAGTCTAAATCATATTGTACTACTTGCTAAATGTAAATTTTATGGCTCTTCTGATTTTACTGCTAATATGACGATTGCTGTTTTAGCGAATTACTCTCAAATGGTTACTATTGATACTGATGTGTGGCCTAAATGTCATTTCATCTAGAGTACCTCAAGGTTTTGTACCACTATTATTTAATTTACATATAGCCGACCTCCACACATTCGTTAAACAAGTTAGTATTCAATTCTTTGCTCAAATGTATAACCACGTGTATAGTACCGACACCTACGCCGCTGAATACGAAATCATTGAAGATATAAAACCTATTAACGAACATGCAAAAAATCATAACCTCAAACTGAAGCCTCCAAAATCAAAAGTGATTATGTATTCACCTGAACTTTAATGTTAGTTTATATGGTGCTAGTATAGAAGTTATTTAAGCAGCCAAAAACATAGGAATCCTTTTGATGACTGTCATAAGTTCATACTTCGTGTAAGCAAAGTTGTTAAAGCTGCTATTCGATCTTATGCCAGTTACATCTGTATAAGCAAATTCTCGTCTCTCAAACTGTCCCAAGTTTCCTTGTCAGAGATTGTATTCACATACTGGCTAAACCGTTGGCTTAAATAAGAGACATACTCAGCTATCTGGAAGACCACTAGAATATGTCCCATTGATAGGAGTGGTGATATCGCAGATGTTTCCAACTACCGACAAATAGCAATTCTATGCAATTTCGGTTAGTAGTTCGAGACCATAGTCTATAATACGGTTTACTGGTCAGTCAAGGGTGCAATCTCTGTCAATCAGCATGGATTCATGAGCGGCAGATCTACGATTACCTACTTGACCCTGATTACTCAGTATATCTCCGAAATATTAGACACTAGGGGGCAAGTTGATGTAATCTATCAAAATATCCGGAAGGCATTTCATCAAGTTGATCATTATGAACTTCTGGATAAGCTTAGGACCATAGGACTTCTGAGGAACTGTTGTCGCTCATAAGTACATACTTGATGGACAAAAGGTTGTTTGTTGAATATAGTGGTTATAGGCAAAGTCATTATCAGGCCACATGCCTCGAGGATCGAATTTATGCCCATTATTGTTCCTGATCTTTGTTGACGATTTGTCTTTGCATCTGTTTTTTGCTGACGGATTTAAGATTTACGCATCGCTCGAGTCAATTGATGATTACGTCATGCTGCAGGATAACTGAGACTCAATTTCTTCATGGTCCTCGCGAAATTGTCTTAGTTTAAATGTGTCTAAATGTAAAGTTGTGTCTTAGGCCAATTATTAAATATATGATGACTATAACATGAACGGTCAGGTTATAGACAGCCACCAGACTACTTAGCTTCTGTATCAGAAACTGGAAGGAGTTCTCCAATGTCAGTACTTTAATGACTTTGTTATTTACTTTTGTCAGAAGCAGGCTAGAATGTTCAACCCAGATCTGGTCTCCAATATACCAAAATTCAGTTTCAATGCTTATCCAGGCAGAGGTTTCTGTCATCATAGAATTTTTTCGATTTGGATTTGCTATCAATTAGACTTAATACCTTTGCCTTGTTGTTTTTATATGGCCTTATTCACTATCAAATTAACTGTCTGGATTTACTTAAAAAAATATATTTCCGCATTCCAAGGCTTGAAAGCGCCTTTTATTGTTAAGCAGGCCAGACGAACCTAATGTTGAAATCTCAAATTCATGTAATGTGCAGTCTGATGAACTCTATTGTGAGCTGTGTGATATTTATAATGACAGCTGTAAATCAACCATAAATTGCCATAAGTCATCGATTGTTCACTGAGCCTACTTAGGCCAATTGACACTAAGTATAGGTTTTCAATGTGTCACTTTATTTTCTTTTTGTTAACGTATTTGAGCTATTCCTGTAAATGGGTCTCACCTGAATATGAAATATAAAAAATAAAAATAAAAGAACCTCAAGCAAATCATTAACTATGTCCAAAATTACTTACTGTGGTATATTTACAATCAATTTTTGATACAACACCTTTTTCACGTCTACAAAAAATACAAAATTCATGATGCAGACTATTAAATAATTTGAGAAAATATGACCATATAAGCAGTTCTTTAACATACTTGGGATAGTGGAAGGAGAAAGAGTTTCATGAGCTACACGTATTAACTCTCACCCATCT